ATCTACGACTGTGAAAAGCCATCCTGTGTAGCTCGCAGGGTCATGGAGGCACGCAAGCCATCACACCGCGTCAAGGTGCAGTCTCGTCGTGATGGTCGTGGTGATCTCTAGAGCGTCAACTCAAAATATTTGTATCGTTCAGTCATTTAATCGGGACTCCAACGTATATTACAGCTCCTCATTGGGCGGTGATGGCGGTCGGGCGGTTTAACTCGCTATTGCTAGTTTGCTGGGGTCCTAAGGCACGGTGTTCGAGCTCTATCACCGCCATCCAATTTTGTAGTAAACGGCCTAGCATGTATGGTTCTCTACTCCACGTCTCAGTGTTTAGGTTACAGGTTTCCATGAACGAACAATCCTAATGGCTATGGTGGTGGGGTTATCCCTTCTTTGCGATGTGCGTCACACAAGGTTATGTAATATAAAAAACTAAAAAACCAATATGATTGACGTGAAATTAACTGGGTAATTTTTCAAATAGCTTTCTACCCTGATGCGCGCTTTCTATGTTACATTCACAACTACCGAAATCTGTGAAAAAAATGAACGCCTACATTAAAACGCAATTGCAGCCGTCTCAAACTCGTCATTGCTCATTTGATTACCCCACCAGGCTCGTGCCTTACTCCTTAAAAAGACGAATGTATTCGTTCATCTGCACGCAGCTGCTGCAGCATCGTGTGGCGAGACTGCCATTACATACACCTAATTTTGTGTGAACGAACAAACGAATACCCCTAATTAGAAAAAATGTAGAAAAAACGTGCCTATAAACTGACGTTCTATAATAAAGAATCGTTTGAAAACTAAATGGCTTGTGTCGTCTGGTAGCAAAGCGAAGTCCATAACTTCGCATGAAGATGAGCCGTTTCAGTTGTTTTTCTTCCTTCTGAATAACGTCCGACCAATCAGTTGTCTCACGGCAACACACTAAACAGGCTCACAACACGACCATCCAAGCCTGAAGGAATGGTAAAACTGTGGAATCAACCAAGTGCATACGCGATCAATCAAAGACCACCTTATCGGTGTATTATATTCGATTTGTCTTCACATACGCATGTATTCATTGAGTCTTGACAACACACACACACACACACCTTTTGATAGTCCTACCCCGGTCCTGTTCTCAATTCCCCCGCTGTTGGGCAACGAGTGCCCTTTGTGATCGTACGCAAAAGGAACAATGTGGAAAATTAATGAACTAGGTGAACGCTGCTGCTGGAGGTTGGTTCGGATAAGAAGGACTTCGTTACGAAATTACTGAGGTACAAAAACCATGCAAGAGAACCAGAATTACTCTCTGACTCCTCTCCCTACTGCGATGCAGTCGACAGTGTTGTATTAGTTCACACCGAGATTGATCAATGCTCAGTCGAGTTGGAGACCCATAAAAAGAAAATAGTTGTTCAAATTCCTTAGATTTTCATTTCGATTTTGTTTTCTTCAAACCGTTTGTTCAGTGGGACGAACTCACAAGTGTTGTTTTTAACAGGTTCGTGGATATTCACAGATCAGTGACTCATTGGACTAACTCAGTTGCGCTCTGATCTGTAATTCACTGGGTACGGACCACGAATGAAATATTTTTGCCCGACCCAATTTTGCAGTTCAACGACGGAGGCTCTGTTTAGTCTATCACTCTATGTGCTGAGATTAGCATTGCTGATGATCCTTACTGAGAGCTATACCGTGGAAAGTTCTTATCATTTGCTCTATTCCTCAGTAACCGTAGTCATGTCATCAGTACCCGAAACCATGTGCTGGCTTTGAACGAAGTAATCTGGTTTATTTTATCCTGTTCCCATTATATTCTTCACTTGCCGTTTCGTTTCATTGTATCTTTTCCAAAAAAGGAGCGTTGCATGCTCGTGAACGCCAAGGACGTCCGGATATGCGGTCTGTTGGGTGCTGCTCGAGTCATTTACGAGCTGGGAGGTGTTCGTGGATTCGGTCGAGGCTTGGGTGCTCGAGTACTATCAGCCGTCCCGGGAACAGCTATATCCTGGTCTGTCTACGAATACTTCAAATGGTTGCTGAAAAGTAAATCAAACAGTCCAAGCTCAGGATCTGAAGCTGCACGTGAGACTTGTAGTTCCACTCGGTCAGTCTTCTTGCCGGCGTCTAGGGAGGTTTCTTGTGCTGTAAATCCCTCGATAAATCGAGAATCATTGAAAGACAGCATTCCAAATCTAGATAAATGATTGTGTCAATTAGGTTCATAACTTTTCTACTGCTCAGGTTTCTTCGGCGGCTCCCAATCCCCGTTGGGTCTTGCTTTAACAGAAGTCGAACCTTTTGACCTCGTGACTACAACAGTCGTTCTTACTTTTATTCTTTGAAGAATCACTTCTAATCCCGTGCCCTCGAGTCCGCACCGTTTCCCTTGTACATAAGTCCCGCTTCAGGGTTCCGGTGATTGTACAATTTTTAGAAAGAATCCTGATTCATGTGATGGTATTATTGCCTAGCAGTATGTACTGCTCTATGCAATACACCATTATGGATAAACAGCTCTTTGATCATTCTTATTGTTGAATCCTTGAGCAAGCAATGAGCCGTCGCTTGGCGCATTTTGGTCTCTACGTTTTCTCTTGGGCTAACACAAGCGTCAATCAAGAGTCGATCACCAATAAGGAGAAAAGTAGGCCCTTGTAAAAATGCACATTATTACGATTGATTACTGAGTCAGAAAGTGTGCGATTTATTGAACCTCATCTTCATACATTGTCTGCATTTTACCCGCTTAACCACAGACTTAACATCGATCTCATCAGTGGTGCACCCCTAATATGAAAGATTTGGAACTTGTGCCAAGTAACCCACGGAACTGTACAGGGGACCTTCAACAGTTTCTTAAATGAGGTCCTGAAGTTTCATGGGCGTTTCGCACAGTCGTCGTCCGGCTTTTTAGTAAGCGCACTACGAAATGAAGGATAGCTTTGACTCCATAGAAGTCCATTTGCCATTTAATAGGCTTGAGTGAATTGCAGAAATTACGGACAGTCTTTACTTGAACAAATTTTCTTCAAGGCTGTTGGATCGGGCAATAGATCTCATCCACTCATTGCGAATCAGCTACTTCCACATACCTCACGCTTTTTAACCGAAGGTTTTAGACCGAGATACGGTCACCGATGTGTGTACCAGCGTCCTGGAGCAGTATACGGCAATCGCCAGTGGAAGTCAATCTGCGCTGACCTTGCCGTTTAGTGTTTGCAGCTTCGATTAGGAATATCCATGAAGCCACACTCAGTGTCTTCTATCACCGGTTACGATCATCCCGAGGTTCCTATCCAGGGAACCTAACGGGACCTATGTGACGCAGACTCTCGGTTAGGGTTTTCATATTCTCATGCCAGGTCTTAGTTTGACCGCCCTCGACGTTAACAATGAAACAGACCAGCATAAAGCGGGAGAGGTAAAAGGACTCTTTCACCAGGGTATTGCGTATGCCCAGCCATCGTCTACCGCACCGCGCTTTATTCGCTGTAGCTAATCCGGGCTGGAGGAAACCACGCGGAGGTCGACAGATGACGTGGAGACGAGGCATGAAGAAATGCACAGAACCATTAGGTAGAGTAGGTGTCTTGCCTTCCAGGTTGGGGTCCGAAAGAATCCACAACTGGTTGGTTGGAGACATTGGAGGATGTGGCAGCGAACCGGCAGCAGTGGCGTTCTTGTTGCCGTTTCTTGTCAGGTCTTGAAACGGTATGTATTCAGAGTTCGATTGCGTACTGTGTGTTGACCATAGTGGCTCATCTTCTCCCTTCCTCAAAATAGATCCAATCCCTGTCCAACTTAAATTTTATCACTAACCTTGTATGCATTGTGAGTTTGGCAGCGGACAGTGAAGTTCGCTTCACTGTATTTTGCTGTACGATGATGATGACCATGGTGAGAATGAACTAACTTGACCCAGGTTGCGTCATCTGACTTTGGACCCAATTCGGGTCAAGTCCGCGGCATAGAAACAACGGTCGAAACTACAAAACTCCGTCATCAGCCATAGCTCGACATCTGATGACGCAACACCAGATAGACCGAAGCACGGCATTTCGGATTGTCTACAAGTCACGAATCGCAAGGTTGCTAAGGTCTGCAGAAGCGATTGCTATTAGCCGATGGAAGCCCCCCTTGTGTCAACAAAAAGAACTTTATGTTAGTTTATCCTTACCCTGATAAAAGTTTTTTTATCCCTTCTTTTTTAATGCCTGTCTGTTCCATTGTATTTTACTCTTCTTTGTTGCCATGCTAAATCTCTATGTAAATATTGTGTTTTCTGCAGTATGCATCATGTTGAGGTGCAGCGAAATCGTCCTGGACATAAATCGTGCAGTATTGCAACATAGTCTTTTCTTCAGAAATTGATCTCGGGAAAGGCTTACTTCAGTTTTCTCAAAACTCGTCTCCCAAAAACGACTATTCAAACAATGGCAGAGTTGGCTAACGTATTCACACATTTGTAAGCTTGTATATCGCTACTCATGAGCGCTTGCCAGGTGTATTATATTTTCAGGTAATAGGAAGTTAGATACCGAGAACTAAAAATGAATGAAAACTACTGTAGTTCACAGGACCAAATCTTTGTTCACCAGTACCTATTATCTTGGTGGTAATAATGCACAAAAGGGAACGAGTTCTGAAGTTGGAACAGTATTCTGAAAGTTCATCTTTCCGTAAATATAAATTTTTGGGTGCAACAACGTATAAACCGTACGTCTTATCTACCAGTGAACGCGATCGAGGAACCAAAGCTAATTGAAAGTATACTTTGGTGTACCTATTTGGAATCCTTAAAAAGTACTGGAAAAACTACGGGACAGTCACAGTATAACTAATAAAACGAACTGAGTAATGTGAAACATCCTTTTCCCTTTATCCATTTCATGAACATCAGAAGACATACGTGGGCAGAATTGATATTGGCCATCAATTTCGCGTGCTGTCATTCAGCTGTAAACGCACATTTATATGATCATATGAAACGAAGAAGCATGAGTTGAAATGAGTCATTTCAACAAAGTGTTGGACAAGTGAGTCGAGTGGTTTGTGTTTGGTTCAGGGGTTGAGGTCAAGTAAGATGAGAAAATTTGATATGGGATGAACTTGACCAAACGATGTGGTGAATGTGGTGAACTATGGAGGGAGAGAGAAGGTCATGTCACGTCATGTTATGGTAGGGTGGTATCAAGTGTGATATCATCACTGCCATCGTAAAAACAGTTGCGTCACAAATGTTTTTTCAATACATAATTGCGGTTTCAAGCGATAAATAATCATCACTTCTAAGAATCGCAAAGTCCGTGAACTTCGAAGCCTCGCAATGACTCGAAATGCTTTGGGTGCACCTACGTGGTGACCGGAATCTAACAAATGACGGACAATCGCACTAGATGGTTATTTCCCTCCGCGAAGACCAAGCGGTTTCGGAATAATGTTCACACATTCTGGTTGACAAGTGACTTTCTGTCCGTCCGAGATACCGCTGACCGCAAGTGCATTGAAATGAATAGATGCAGTTGGAGGTAACACTAGCTGAATAAGAGCACGTGAAATTGATGGTCAATATCAATCCTGCCCACATATGTCTTCTGTTCTTGGTGAATTGAGTAATGAATGAACCAAACAGAAAAGCTGAGCGAAATAGGGTTAAAATAAAAATCTAAGAGAAAGACCAGTCTGTTCGAAAAACGCCACAACGCTTTGAAGATTAGCAGAAAGTATAACTACGACCCAGGTAGAGCTGGAAAGGTCTGCACTGTCAGACGCAAGCATCTACAAAACACCTTGCCTATTAATTCAGTTCTTGAAAAGCCGAACAACAGCCAGTCGGCTAGCCATGCTTATTAACTAAATGGGTAACCAGAGGAGCGCAGAATAAATAGTACGTGCGATCGGGTAATTTGCTTTTTGTTAAATAGGTGGCGGTGGTGACCTAGTGGTTTAGTCGACGTCACCGGTGTGCTTTAGTCCCCGTGGTCCGATGTTCGAGCCCGGCAACCGCCATCCAACTTTGGTGGTGGTAGACAGCATTGTATTTGTATTTGCGTATACTTTCGCGTGACTAGATGTCCGCATTTCAATCAAAAATTACACATCCCATTAAGAGAAGGAAATAATATAAGTAAAACATCTAAACTTCAAGGTTGTTGAGAAATTCGGTTTCCAAGTAATCTGGCGAGATAGAGAAGAGGGGAATTTCTGTAAAGTTTGATGAAAGAGGGTAATAATCGATATGTAGAACGCGTAGATGAATGAGAGCAGCATTTGGATGAGTGGGGTCAGAGAGGATTTTCTGTGCAAATGTTTCACACGCGGACAAGTGAAGTTCACAGTTTTTTTAGATAGATCATCAATGGATGTAAAAGACACGACTAATGATCAACGAAGAATTTTGAAGTCTTTTTCGAGTAGACCAGCAAAAACTACCGGGGAACAATAAAGAAAAGCGGGAAAAGCACACTGGTAAACAAAAAGTTAAATGAATTTTTGTTTGGCGTTGAACTACCAAAGTCTTCGCAGTTGAAAAGACAATCCACGAAGTTTCTGTACCGAGTTGTAAACATGGGATGTCCTCTTTGAGTTTGTATCAATTGTAACTCCTAAATAGTTCACAGAATCTACTGTAGTCAAGGGATCTGTGATTATGACCGAGGGGTCACGGGGATAAATAGATGGAAGCACTTGGATAAAGTAAGAGACTGACAGAACGAACGAGATTTGCGTGGATATGTGATAATTTATTTGAGAAATATAGGTCCTCAGGCACAGAAATGGATGGGCAAAGGGCTACGTAGTCTGCATATTTAAATGATTGGACTGAAGAACTAGTTGACAGATCACTGATGTAGGTAGAAATCAAGAACGGAGATAGTACGGTACCCTGCCAATTTAAGACCGCATGGCTTTAGAACGATGGGACGGAAACGTTTGGACAGGGTACTGGATCCACACGGTTTTGGAAAAGGAATGATCGTGACGGGTCTCCAGCAATCAGGAAAGGAATACGTGCCAAATGATGTGTTGAGGATAGAAGTAAAAGCATCCGTTAGAGCAAGGGCATCGTGCGTAGTGTCAGATTCGAACGATTTTCAGTGTTTCGGAAAATCGATACACCATGATGTGTTTTTTATGGGTTGTAATTGTGAAAACAGCGATGTCGGTACAGGTGAAAATAAGCCGACGTTTCGGTTACCGTAGG